TTCATGGAATTTTACACACCAGCATTTATATGTCAAACTGTGCTAAGAAGTAAATACTGAAAATGAAATAATAAAATCACTCATGTATAAATAATTAACACGGTTGTATTCTATTACTATTAGTGCATACTCAACGCAGCTGTGTAATAGAAAAATACCCATCAGCCCTGTGCTCTGCAGTCTTTGAATAGGACAGTATTTTAGGCTAAAACGTACCATCACAGATCTATGAAAATCACATGGGACTTTTTTCACCAAAAAATGACTTGTGTTGAACTGACATCGAACTTGCAAAACTAAAATAGCAACTTAAAAAAATTAATCTGAGCCAAATTTTCCCCTTAATTTTACAAGACTTTGAGACTGATTACCTTAGAAAAATTTAATTCTGGCATATTGGTGAGTTCTGCATACAAATCTTTAAACAATTGCATTAGGATATAAACATATGTGCATGGGATAGCAAAACTGTGCTTTGTGGGAATGGAAATAGCTATTACAAAGTAAACATTGGATTTACCAGGCATAAGCTGTGTTCTCTATGACCATTAGCGCCGCCTTGTGGCTCCACTCCTCATTGCATGATTTTCAATTATTTCTGTTAGCTCGGTGAACAATGAAATGCATGTACGTTATTGTACGATTAAAAAAAAATTAATATACTTACAATTTAAATTTCTAAAGGAATGTCTTTCTTGTTTTTTAGATTCATCAGCTCCTGAAGTATACAATTGTAGAACTAATACACAAAACAATTCCTCATTTAATTTAAATTAGTTCAATCAACTGAATTTATAAATTGCATCCTGTAGCTATTGTGTGTCACTCATTTCACAATACTGCCATGTTAGTGATTTATTTTCATTTTATGAAGCTGTCTTGTAATTCATTCAAAATAAAAATAGTTTTATTTAGCCGTGCCAACTTCTTACACTCAAGTTTTGTGCTAATACTGTTAAACTAGTGTTTTTTTTCCCCTACATGCAAATGTGTGCACAAAAAAAAAAATACATTCATTTCCTGCATTGAGTATTGTTTTTGAGCTAAAACCCCCCTTTTTTAAAAATATAGATCAGCAATCGGCTATTTTGGCCTGAAACTATGATTCTTATCTCACCACACTTATATATCTGTATGTATGCATTTGTTAAGACATATAGCTATATAGATAGATTTAATATTAAAAATCTAATGTAGATTTTTATTAAAATATATATATAGTAATATAAATACTTAGATATAGGACATGGCATCTGTAATTAGGATTGAGGACCCTAATAACATGTTAAAAAGATAAAAAAAAAAAAAAAACCTTCACTGCAATTTCAGGGATGGAAGGGGATTTTCCAAATATTATTGCCAACCAAATGCCAGCTCATGCCTACTTTAAAATGCTACAGTGACAATGTGTCTTACTTGTGTGTTTTAATAACCATTCCTCACAACAGTCCGAAAATAAGACTTATCTAAATGTCATTGAGGAAAGATTACGCCTTCTCAAACATTAATTACAATGTATTGACAGAGCAGTATGGCAGTTTGCTGTGTGAGCAGATGAAGATTAGCAGATCCTGGCATTAACAGTAATGATGGCAACACACACTTAACACGCGCACACTCTTCACATAGACACATATATAACACTCACACACACTGCACATAAGCACACAAACATCACACACACACACACTGCAAATAGAAACATAGCACTTACATACACTGCACATCAACACAGACATAACACTCACACACACTCTGCACATAGACACACATTACTAACATACACTGTGCACATAGACACACACATTACACATACACTCTGCACACAGACACATAGATAACACTCATACACACTCTGTACATACACACACTTAACACACACACATGCACATACACACACTGCACATAGACACATACATAACACACACATGTATATGTAACCAACTTTATTTATGGAAGATGTATGTTTACACACACACACACACACATATATATATATAGAGAGAGAGAGAGATAAAGAGAGAGATTCTATACAAATACACACACACAGACACACACACACACACATATGTATATATTCTGATTCTCGTTGTTTATCTATCGATCCAACTGTCCCTCTGAACATGTTCCCTTGTAGTTAGCCAGATTCACACATTCTCACCTTACATGCTGCCCTACATATTAACTTCAAAATAAAGCCAAACACGTGAATGCATTATTTATAGCTACATGAGTATTATCGATTTGTCTATGTGCTTTTGCCTGTGTGTGTGCCAGTTGAGCAGGGCCCTGCTATACATGCCAGTGACCCTATTCTGCCTGCATCATACTAACCCTTTGGAACTTGTCAAAATGGATACAGTTTCAGCTAATAATTCCACCGCTGGAACTTGGAAGGTTTCTGATCCTCTTTAGAACCGTTTAACAAAGTGTCCTGGATGGGAGGTGTGGGCCACAAAACTGACTACAACTAGTTCACACAAACCTGTGATATCAATAAACTAAATTTATATTAAATATCTGTGTTTTACGTAATACATTTGTTCTGTTATTAGCATGTTTTAAATTGTAAATATCTGCTATTAAAGCACAATGAAATGACTAATCATAAACTAAAAAAAATGAAAATTAGTCAAAAGGTTATGTATAAATGCATATATGGTGTTTTAATTACATTATATATGGTGTTTAATGAATATAAATATAAGTATATTATATATTATTAATGTTAATATATATATTATGTTTGCACCTTCTATATCAATGACCTCAGTGAACCTCAGCCTGACCGTTCCCATTATATTGTTAAAGTACATGGTGGTGTGATGGGGCAGCCAAAAACTGAGAGATGCTTTCATGGAACAGTTAAGAGCCATCACAGCGAATCTTCCTGTATGTGTATCAACATACAGAATAGTCTCTGCAGACACCTATCTTCCAAGTTCCAACCCTTACCATCAGCCCGGACTGGCTACCCCCGAACACTGATAGGTCATTTCGACTTTTTCACATTTATTTCAATACAGATCATTTGAAACCTTGTGCTGTATCGGATAGAAAGAACAGGCTATTTCCTTTTGTTTATCAACATGTTCTATGATCAGGTGTAATATACGTGCAATGAATCTAGCAATCGAACTATATTTGATACAATTAGTAAATAAATAAACATTGGTCAAAAGGGAAAAAAATAAATCATTTTTAACAATTAACAAATGGCAGTGAAAAGAACCTATTTCTTATCAAACATATTATACATATAATTTTGCACATGTATGTATATGTGTGTGTGTGTATATATTATATATGTGTGTGTGTTATACACACACACACAAAGCATAAGCACTGACACACATATACAGCTTACTTTGTGGGGTTGAATACCTAAAATGTTAACGTTAAAGCCAAATAAAATGTAACTTGAAATCATTCATTAGCACCTCATAATTACTCTGTTAATTAGGTTGAACATGGTACTTAGTCAGAAGTAATGCAGCCTTGTCATAGGCGCTTCACAATTCTTTGACATTCAACAACAGACAGGTTGAAGCTGTCCTGAAAAAAATAATAATAATATTGCCACACAATTTGATGCTCCACAGAATCAGCAGAATAATTTCAATGTCCCAGGGGATACACACTATCCGTCCCTGTTACAATTAAGACACTAGGAATATCAGAATCAGATTGGCTAATTACCCAGGCGAGCTGTGCAGGTTAGAAAAACATGCAAATCGCATTTGTGTACATATGGATTTATGTACCTGTGTGTACAGACAACTGTGTCTACCACGAGCTATGTAAAGATCATGAACTGGCGAATTGACAAAGTCATATTTTTAAAAATGGCATAGAAATTAAAAAAACAAACTACATTCTGAATTTTAAAGTATCAAAGAAAAATATATATATATATATATTTTTTTAATAATGTTTGTGTATGAGTTAAATTATAAGCATAAACTGCAATGTCTTTTTGAAGTATGATGTGTTACAGTATAGTTATTATTATTATTATTAATAATATTATTTATCACTATTAATAATCGACACATCATATTAAATTATACTTGTTCTATTATAAAATAATTTTAATGGTGTTATATACATAAATGATTAACTTATATTGGTCTGATTTCTTGCAATTTAATTTGCATTTTTTAAAACAATTTTTACTGAAAAATATAATTATGTATCGATATATGCTTTTATATGTTTTTAGATCAAAGGGTTTGCTCGTTTTTAAAGGGAATAAAATAAAATCAAATCGAGTCACTTACTGAGAACGGAGCTGCTTGCAGTTTAGTACAGGCTATTGACACCCTTGTATTTCACTGCAGAACACATATCGAGCCTATAGCTTTTCTGTGCAGAGCAACCTACCTGTCCTAAGCAAAATGTATAGATCTGCGATTGAAATCAATCTCCTTGGAGCTGGGAGTTTTATTATTGAAAATAATTTATTTTTTTGTTGCCTCTCCTTTGTTGTTTTGTTTATTCTATTTCTAAAACACATCTATAATTACATTTGTTTTATGTTGTTGTTTGTTGTTGTGTTTGTTTGTTTTTTTCTGTTCACCGCATTTCACTTTTTTATTGTTATTATTTTATAATAATTATTTTATAAAAATAAAAATAATAATAATGATAATAATAATAAATAAATGAAATATATTTTAGATTAAGGAATAAAGCGAGTCAGAAGATTGATGGTAGAAAAGAGCAGCCAAGCCCCATAGCCTCAATAAACTGTGCATGAATAGGCAAGTGGCCCTTTCTATTGGAAGACTGGACTAGACGTCAGGTCTCTCCCACCCTGGCGACCAATGACCGAGAAGATTGGCGACTTGATGTAAAGTGGGTTAGACTGAGCCAAGTGGATGGGAGGAGGGGAGGAGGGTCTGAGTGTACGGTCCTTGCCGTGACGTCACGGGAGGGAGTCACTGGAGCCCATCAGGCGAAGGATTACAAGTGGAAAGAGAAGCAGCAGCCGGGATTCAGCCAGGCAACGTCTGGGAGCAACCTCAACTTTCAAAGAAAGTTCAACAACTACAGCAGCAGCCACCCGGGAGCCTGCCACCCTCATCCCAGCAATCCCAGGGCCCCTTTAACAAGAGCTATAGCAATGGGGGACCCATCCATGGCACATTAAACTAGACCCCACCGGCAGCACGTGTGGCAGACTCTAATACCAGCCTGCACTGTCACTGCTTCCCAAATCGACACTTTGTATCCAGCGTTGAATCATTCTATTGATACCTGTAGATACCTGTATTGAAGTGTACTTGGCTAAATTTATTGATCACATTTAAAAAAAAAATATTATTGTTTTGTTCTAATTTGATTTATTTTTTTAATATTTTTTTCCCCAATACCTTTGTTGTATTGGACCTTTTCTTTTATTTATTATAATTTTTTTTTATTATTAATATTGTTTTTTTTTATTTTTATTATTATTATTATTATTATTTGGTGTGGGAGGGGGGTCATTTGAAGTTTGCACCGAGAGGATTTGTTGTTATGAAGACTTTGGCTTGAAGGGAAATGAACAGCATGGAAGGATCCAGTTTTGGGATAGACACTATACTCTCCAACGCTGGTTCTGTCAGCCCTGCTATGTTGAATGGAGACTTTAGGGATGGCAGGGGGGCGGATTTTAGGAACCAGGGCCCGCTGTCACCCAGCTCGGAAATAGACACTGTGGGGGGGAGTTCCCCTTCATCTCCTATCTCAGTGACTATGGACTCTGCAGATCAGCACCGGCTGGTGGATAGCGCCCATCATCAGGCTCAGCATCTCCATCACCTCCACCACAGCCAGCAACAATCCCCCTCCTCACAGCAGCAGCAGGCTCAGTCAGGCTCTGCTCCCAGGACTTCCACTTCTTCCTTCTTAATTAAGGACATTTTGGGAGACAGCAAACCTTTGGCAGCCTGTGCCCCTTACAGTACCAGTGTGCCGTCCCCTCACCACACTCCTAAACACGAAGGCAATGTACCCACAGAAAGTTTTAGGCCCAAACTAGAGCAGGAGATGTCAGATGGGAAGGGGAAGCAGGACAAAATCAGAGAAGACTTACATACAGACATGAAAGGACATGGTGAGTTTTAACTATATATTTTTTATTTATTTAAATTAATTTGTTATTATTATTAAATATATATTATTTTATAGGGATAAATACTGGGTTCTTGCACAATAATTATTACCCCAGAAAATCAATCTGGTATAATAAAAATGAAATGCTGGGTTCTTGAACGAGAAATATTAACCGAGAGAATTAAACCGCTATACCAAAATATATACAGTGAAATGTGTAGATATGAAAATTACAGATAAAATATTAGCTTTAATATTTTAAAATTCTCTTTCAGAGATGTCCTTTATGTAAATCAATCCGTAGAGGAAAAATAAAAAAAGCATTGAGTCTGGTTGCAAATAAATTAAATAAATTCCTTGTTAAATGGCAGGTGCACATATGTATATTGTATATATATATATGTATATTCTGCGACTTCAAGTATTTCTCATTTAATATTATTTAACTTAAAATACACATTTTGTGTAGAAATCTAAGTTGGAAGGGGAAACAACACATATAAACATAGTTAAGAAATAATATGTTTATAACGTGCACATTTTTATTATAAAAATGTTTTTTTAAATAGATATTATTACTTTTTTAATGATCTGAAAACTGCATTCATAATTAATACTATAAATACGTTTTGCTAAAGAAAAAATTAATAAATTAATATAAGTAAATTAATATAAATTCGACCAGGCTAGGCTCATAAATCAGAGCGTTTCAGCACCTGGAGTTCATGCAATAATGTATTAATTTACACATAATCCCATGTTAAATAAGGGGTTGATGATTGGAAACTGCTGTGCTAATTAATGGATCTCGCTTTCTTTTTTTTTTTTTTTCTTCTTCTTTTTTTTTATTGTACAATTGTTCTGTTACAGTGATTTTTAAATAAGTGGGGGGTGGGGGGGGAGGGGGGGTTCATGGAGAATAAAGTAAACCCCCATAAGAACTGTCACACTGAGATTCGTATTAATAAATCAAATGGTGATTCATTTTGGTATTGTAATTTTTCTTTTTTTAACATTAGTGATCAAAAACAGATGTACAGTCTGGCCTGGTGATTTTTTGTGTGTGCACGGTCCTCCCCAGTGGTTCAATTAGAGAGATTATGGTTCTTCCTGCAGGGAAGATAAAGGAGTGATGAAAAATACTGGTACAAACAGAAATGCTTTTGACATATTGATTCCTTTTCATTTCAGACAAAAAAATAAATAAAAAATAAGTATAAAAAACAAAACAAAAAAAAAAGCACATATAAAATTTAAAATAGAATCTTGGAATACCAAATCCGAATTTTCGTTAGCATTCAGTTCCTTAAATCTGATCTGTAAAGCTGGTGTCATGACTTCTCTCTAATACAACAGCTGTGACAACAGGAGAATTTTTTTTTTAAATAAGAAATTGAGTCATTTAGTCTTAATATTAATTTCACGAATTTGTAACATTGTTTCAAATTTTAATATCTATCTATCTATCTATCTATCTATCTATCTATCTATCTATCTATCTGTCTATTTATGATGATAACTTGTGTTGTGGTAGTTAGTAGTTGGTTTGTGTATTTAATGGATTTCTTCCATTAGGTACTAAAGAAGAGGGGGATCGGGAGATTACAAGCAGCCGAGACAGTCCGCCGGTTCGAGCTAAGAAGCCGAGGAAGGCTCGGACTGCTTTCTCAGACCATCAGCTCAACCAGCTGGAGAGGAGCTTCGAGAGACAGAAGTATCTGAGCGTCCAGGATCGCATGGACCTGGCAGCGGCCCTCAACCTGACAGATACCCAGGTCAAGACCTGGTACCAAAACAGGAGGTAAGGGCAAGGTCACTATTGGTAGACTGGCACCGAAACTGGCATGGGGTATAGCTGGCTGTTATGGCATAGTGACTGACAAAGTGACAAACAGAGTGACTGACTGAAACTGGGACTGACAAAGGGACAAACACAGAGGGGGACTGACAAAGGGACAGACAGAGTGACTGACCGACACTGGGACTGACAAAGGGACAGACAGAGTGACTGACAAAGAGACAGACAAACAGGGTAATTGACACAGAAACTCTCACAGATACGTACATAGCCAGTGATTAATACTGAGGCTGAATGAGTCACTGACTGACACAGGGATGGACACAGAAACATTCTTAGACAGGGACTGACACTGGGACAGAGAGTTACTGAGTGACACAGGGACTGACACAGAAACATTCTTAGACAGTGACTGACACTGGGACAGAGAGTTACTGAGTGACACAGGGACTGACACAGAAACATTCTTAGACAGTGACTGACCCTGGGACAGAGAGTTACTGAGTGACACAGGGACTGACACAGAAACATTCTTAGACAGTGAATGACACTGGGGCTGAATGAGTCACTGACTGACACAGGGACTGACAGAAACATTCTTAGACAGTGAATGACACTGAGACAGAGAGTTACTGAGTGACACAGAGATTGACACCGAGACATACACAGCCAGTGGCTGGTACTGGGACAGAGTCACTGATTTACACTGAGACTGGCACAGAGACATACTTAGACAGTGACTGACACAGAGACACACATAGACAGCAATCCACAAAGGGATAGACAAAGAGGGTGAATGTCTTCCATTGAGTCTAACATGGAGACTTACACTGGGACAGACACAGAGACAGACTTTGACAATGACTGACACAGAGACAGAATGACAATGACTATAACAGAGACAGACATGACAGCTACCTAAATAGGGATATACGCAGATGTTGACTGACTGACACTGGGACAGAAATAGTGACAATGGATTGACATAGGGACAGTCACAGAGGGTGACTGACACAGAGATAGCCGCAGACATTCGCAGAGGGGGACCGACTGACACTGGGAAACATTCACTGGAATTGGCTGGCACAGAAATGGACAGAGAGACTGTTACAGATGGTGACTGACAAACTGACACTGATTGACATAATGGCATAGAGAATGATTAACACATATGAAGACACTGACACATAGACTCACATATAGCATTACTGAAACTGACACCACCATTGTTTATGTCAGACAGTCCCTGTGACAGGCACTGGGACTGACACAGAGACAAGTCAGGGGATGGGTGACAGAGACAGGCACAGGTAAAAGTGAGTAAAAAACAAACAATAAAAAAAAGACCTAGATTACAAAACAGAGACACACAGTGTGTTGCTACATAGATACATACTGACAGAGCCACGAAAACAACATATGGATAGACTGCGTTATATCTGCTTGAGACAGAGGCGGTGATGGAGAGACAGATAAGGTGAAAAACCTAAGGACATGGAGATAGGTTTATCCATTTTCCGGCCAGACATATTAGATACAAACAGATACACACGAAGGACACTGGGACACAAACCATCACAGAACAGACAAAACAGACACAGTGACACATCTATACACAGAAAGTCCGAACCGATGACTTAAAGGCTGCAGTTAAACGGAAGAGACACAATGCCAGAGATACAGTTCTGTCTAGCTGTGGAACACAACTCCCAAACTGCCCAGACAGCATTATGGTTGAATACAAAAATAGTAAGGGTGATGTTGGCAACAGTTGAAACCCCCATAATCTTTCTATCCAACAAAAAGCTGCTCTGCATTTTTCTTTTAAATTATATTGGTGGATTAATTAGTTGTATAAATTAATGGGTGCATTCCTTAAACAGTGCCCACTGACCTGCAGAATTTAGGCCAACAGATATGAGTTGGAGATTTTCCAGAATGTGACTTTGTTTGTTAACTCATCACATCTCACCCTTTAGTGACGAATACACCTCCTTAATTTTATAACTGCAAACACAGCCCACAGGTGTATCTGGCTATTTGATTACTAGACGGAGGTGAAATATCTCAGCTCCAAATTGTGTTAAATCACACAAATAAATATATTTTCTTTTTTGATCTACTAAATATGTCGCCTGTCTTAACATTAATCGTTGTAAGAAAATAATGTTAAGGAGTAATCACACACTGTAATATAAATACGTTAATTCATTCATTCATTAATTAATTCGTTCATTCATTTACCAAAACAAAAACATGTAAATGATGAGTAATTCAGGCACAAACAGAAATTGCAGAATGAACTGTCAGTAAAGCTTACATTGAATCCAGAAAAAGGGGGCCCAAAATCCAGTTTATCTATCCCTTGGTACTTTCGTGGGTGTTTCGTATTCATAAAAGAATTCCTCATACTGCACATAACGAGATAAGTGCAGCTAATTAATATCTTCAAAGAAAGAAAAAAAAATCAACTAATATACACATGAATAAATAATGACAAAATCTTGATTACAAAACTAGGGACATGTTAGTCTTCCTGTGTCATAAGAACACACTGGGAAGAAATCCCACTGCAAATTAATTAGGCAGTACTGCACCAGATATGTGTTTTTATTATAATTCAATTATAAAATAATTTTTATTTTTTCTAAACAACAATTTTATGCAGGCCCCACTATTTTAATTAAACAAACAAAAAAAATGATATATAGATATATATGTATCTTTTACTAATCTGTAATCAGCCTTAATTTTCTTGTGGTTGGGTAGTTAAGTTTTTTTTTTTTTTTTTTAATTTACAAGAAAATGAGGTGCAGTTGTATTTTCCATAATTTTCTGTCTCATTACATACAGTTTCAGCCACCCTAATTCTGTCGAAAAACATTAATGTCATCTATTTGCAATCTAAACAGTTTGCCATTGGTGTGTTTAGTAATTCCGCCTTGCTACTCTGTAGCCACTTGCTCGCAGGCTTTAAGAGACATTCAAATTTGGCAGAAAGATTAAATAAATGCGTGAATATTTTTGTCAGAAATTAGTTTTATAAATTGTCAAAGCACAGACAGGAAAAGTAGTGATATTTAACTGCTTGCTTCGTTCTGATCTCTGCTGACTCGTGGTATATTTTGAGCTGCAGGCTTTAGTTGAAGTTGTTGAGGATGAGTGTGAATATAGAAAGTTATCATTGAATTCAAATAAATGATAATTTAATTATACAGCATATATATATATATAATGCTCACACAATTTTAGCGTAAATAAGTCAATGGGAAAATGCAATAAAACCTTAGACATCCTTTGTCTTTTATTTGTAATATAAGGCGATTTAAAACACAAACAAACCAACAAACAAAAACAAAATAAAATCAGTATAAGATATATATATATATGTATTTATATATTTATTGCCTGGCTGTATGACTCAAAAAAAACCTTAAACGAAACAAAATGTATGTAAAATTGTAGGAAAAACACAAATAAAATCAGAACACATCTATGATTATTACCGATTAGGGATAGGAAAGGAATTATTGGGTACTTTCATTGTTCCTTATTTAGATAATTCCTCACCATACGGTGCAGCGACTAAACCCTATAAAAGAAGTAAAAATCCCAGATAACTAAATAAGACTAATTCTAACAGAAATGTAGCCCAATCTAGGCTAATAATTTGAATAATCTTTCCTGTTTGTGATTTTATAACTTGTATCTGTTTTCCTGCTTGCCTTATTAGAATTGTAATCTTTTTTTTTTTTTTTTACTGTTTTGTGATATTATTATTTGTATCACCTTTACTGTTTTGTGATATTATTATTTGTATTCGAACATTACTGTGTGATAGTATAAATTGTTGTGTTTCGGTTTTGACTAATTTTGAGGGTCTTTTAAAATATTCTGCTCCTGCCATGAATTGTTTCACAAAATAAAGTTCTCCCCTTTGATGTGTTTTGCTTTAGGACAAAGTGGAAGCGTCAGACAGCAGTTGGTTTGGAGTTATTGGCTGAAGCTGGCAATTATTCGGCTCTCCAGAGAATGTTCCCCTCTCCATACTTTTACCACCCCAGCCTGTTAAGTAGCATGGACAGCACTACTGCTGCAGCCGCCGCTGCAGCCATGTATAGCAGCATGTATAGGACTCCTCCAGCCCCTCATCCTCAACTACAGAGACCTCTGGTCCCCAGGGTTTTAATCCATGGCTTGGGACCTGGAGGACAACCAGCTCTTAATCCGCTGGGGAACTCAATCCCAGGTACCCCTCACACACGGTGAAACCAACACTCCTTCCCAGCACTATCACATCCTTACAGACCCCTTTACAGAATCCACAAGGACAAACAAAATACCAAAACTCTGGGGACATAGAGATGGCTTAAAAATCAGAAGGACAGGTGAAAGAATTTATGGAACCCACCAACATCATCATCTCTTGAACATCCAGGAGGGACATTAGCACTGGCAACTGAGTGTTTAATGATTAAGAAAATGAACAGTTCTTTCTCGGAAAGTGGTTCAAGAAGAGCTATCAGAGCATGGAGATAAGGTTATCTGCAGATGAGAATGGTATGCCTTGTGTAGGACACTCCATACTAGACAAAGGAGGCAGAAGAAAGACTTGAGTCCAAAGGCAAGTGGAAAGAGCTCTGCCCCACAGAAAGACGAGGGAATGTAGAAAAGAGGGTATATGAGAACTTTGCACTGAACGTGTGTGTGCTTTTTCATTCTGAAAGTAGCATGCTCAGTAATATAAAATGTACATTTGAAAAAAAAAAGACTGTGATATATCATATTTATTATATGTTGTCTTTAAAAAAAAGGAAGACAGAAAAAGTCACTACTCTACATTGATTTTCTTTTCATTTGGAGCAAGTCAAATAAATGCTTAGATGAAGGATATAGATTTTTTTTTTGGTGATTGAATTTAAACAAGAAAAAAAACAAAACAAAAAAAAAAACAAGACTAAACAAATCTATCTTTTTTAACATTTGCTGACATGAAAAAAAATGATTTTAATAAAATAAATGTACATTACCACCATGCGAATTTTTCTTTTATGTCTCTACGCATCTTTTTTAATTTATTGTACAAATTATGGGGACTATTCACTAAACAGCTGGGTGGGGTGGGTGGAGAATTGACTTGTACAATTTAGACTAAAATGTCTAAAGGAAAATACTTCTTTAATTCAGCATATTTTGGGGTTTTTATTTTGATCTACATTTGAGCATTTAATTGCAGAGTTCACTGTTTAATGAATTCACTTCAATGCCTTCTGAGAATTAATTCTAGAAAATATAAACTGATTTGTATGTTTCTAAATTATTCTGTTTTTATAAGGATCATTTTATACTTTTTATAATAGCTTTTGGCTACATGGCGTCCTCATTTCTTTCTTCTTTTTTTTTTAGTATGAATTTTAAATAAGATAACGAGCAAAATGAGTGATTTGTAGGGTAGGTTTATTTGCCTGGGAAACTGAGGACATGCAGCCCAGCCTGGCAGCTGTTATTGGGTAAAACAGACTCTTGCAGAACAGACAGTAAGCGAGCTGAGACTCTGAGTGAACTATTGTAAGGGGTAATTCAAACACATGTCTACTAACGGTGGCTATAGAATATACACAAAAAAAATGTACAGGAAAATCATGGCAAACTTTATTTTTTTTAAATTTTATGCTTTGAATTTTAATACATATAATTACAATGTTACATTGAAATCAGGGTTTGTATAATTTATACAATTTTTTTTACAGTTGAATCATATATTTGAAATCAACAGCTATAATATGTGCTAAGATGATAATAATATGGATTAATTTCCAAAGTGTATGAATCTGGGAGAGTTTATTGCATATTGCTTAATGGAACATTAATATGCAGTTATTGTGCACGTGTTTTACTGCAAATAACAGATTTCAAAAAAATAAAATAGTGCAAACTAAAAAAAACAAAACAAAAAAAAAAACCCTGATTTTTTTTTATATATTAACAAGTGTTTCTGTAAAAAAAATAAAATTTAAATAAATATATAATAATAATAAAAAAAATATCAGTAAGCCTTTTGACAGTTACAGGTTGTGAATTGCAATGTGTTTCACTTGCCACAATTGATCATCTTTAGAATTGATAACCTGAGACCTTTCAAGGGGAAATGCAATATTTTCTTCCATAAAATTAGAAAGTTATACAGCAATTAGATATAAAAGATTCATGGAGTTGTATCTTGTGAGCTCCTCTGAGGTTTGTGGTAGAGATGGACCTGTATTTTGAGTTTTTTTCCTTTTTCTTCTATACTAGAAAGGCCCCCGGGCACATTTATATTGGGCTTTGCTAATTAGGGAATGGTTTGCTGATTTCTCTGCTAATAAATTTGCGTTAAAACCATATTGACCTCTGCAGCGGTCCAACAATGGGAGAGTGAAGCTTAAAACCGCCCCCCTCGTTCTGTGCCCTTGAAGCTACGGTAATTATCCTGAGCTGGGGACCTCACAGCCATCCACAGCTCCATAGCAGAACTAGCTCCCAACAAAAAGACTTCATTTTCCTTGCAGAGATCTATCAAACGAGAAAACTAGAGCATACATTTCAACCTGCTAACAGCCACACACTACAGATCTTGAATTAAAAATATAGTTCAGACACACACACACACACACACACACACACACACGTCTATGTTTATTATTTATATGAAATACATAAAAAGCCTAATTTGCTCATTTGATTATAATGTGCAGAGCATATATGTGCTATGTAGTGTGTGCTATGTAGCGATTATTGCTTATCTATGTGTGTATGTAGATTATCCGTACATTATGAACTCCAATATTATTTACATATGTATTTAAAAATTTACAAGTTAAAAAAAAAAAAGAAACATCCCTCTAAAATTAAATAAACAGGAGTGGGAATGGAACATTTCGAATTTAGAATGTTGAGGTAAGGGCAACTCGCCTTTTAGTAAATCCAGCCCTAAACGTAAAGAAAAAAGATGAAATTATGATCTATCTATCTATCTATCTATCTACCTATCTATCTATCTATCTATCTATCTTATAAAATCCATGCAGTATAGAATCTGTACACCACTGGTTTTAGATATGTAAAAAAACATAATTATATAATCATGCCTACATATAACTACATACTACACGTGTATGTAAGTGTAATAGTAAAAAAGGAAAAATCTATTAAAAAACTATATTACAAATTTTTTTTTCACCTTTAAAATTATAACTTTACAAGAAAAAAAATCCCCTCTTTTAAGATGTAAATCTTTGCTCGACTAACATGCTTATTATGGAATTTCTAAGAGATCACAGTTTCTTTGATTTATTGCCTCAAGCAAACACTAGCTTTGCCAATGCTCAACCCAACATTGAACAGCCTACATAAAGTGTTTGTGAGCAGGGGCTGAGAGAACAGTCACTACATTATCCTGGGGATCATTTGAAAAAAAAATAAAAAAAAAATTAACGCTCATATAGTGAGCTAATTAACTAATTTAAACCGTTTTCTTTAGTTTGAATCTAATATTGCAGTGTGTGAGGGTAAGTGACCTGGCCATCTGCGAAAGGGTTAAGTGTTTGTTTTGTTGTATCCAGAGAATTATGGAATGTGATCTCTATCAACATTCTAATCAGAATGGAAAGAAAGCGGTTTATATGTTGGCAGGAAAAGGCACTCAATAAAACGGTTGATTGCAAAGTCCTTCATTTTTAACTGTGTGTGAGAAAGGCAATGGTTGTCTCCTCACTTTGAAACAAAAAGTCACTGTTTAGTGAAAGGGGAGTTTTACAAGGACCACAAACAAATCCCTTTATTGGCGAAGCAATGTTTTTCTAAACACATCCGAATGGCTACTATCATTTGTCAACAAAAATGGGAAACATTATACGTGGGAAATAAACTGATTTCAAAATGCCATAAAGTTCTAAAATAAAAAGTAGTCTTCACCTGTGCCTAACGTATAGTCCATGCACAGTTGACTTTCTCTGGGTCACTGTGTTTTAAGTGAGATTGTGTTCTCTAAAATATCTAGAGGAATACATATAAGGAAAAGAAGAACACACAATCACACAGACACGCTATCATACACTTCATGAGATTCAAATTCTACAATTAACTTCATGAGATTTTGATTTTCATTTATTTTGACTCCCCTAGATGGATCCACTCTATATATTATTCATACACTATCATACACACCTACATAAACACCTTTCATATGGACAAACATATGCAGAAACCCTTAAACAGACAGATGTAAGTGTACACACTCAAACAGAATTAACTCTTGTGTTCTCTAAAATATCTAAAAAATATATATATTAGAAAGAGGCAGATCACACATTATCACAGACACACAGATACACAGATGTCCTCACAGACACACACACACATATAATTAAACACTCATACTGACTTTCACACACACAAACACACACATACAGACATACTTACATATACATTCACACAAACACACACACACACACACACACACATCTAAAAGTATATATAATTTTTCACTCGGGACTAACATTTAGTCCGTTCGCATTTGTCAATTTCTGGTTGTTTATAATTTAAATTAACCCTTGTGTTCTCTAAAATATTTAGAAAATAAAAAAAAAGGAAAAAAGGAGTTGTACACAAGTGAAGAAAAATATAATCCTATAAGATTGTATGTATTCGAAGACAGAATAGGATAAACTTAATGTAAGCACCAAGGACAGCTACCTGGGACATCTACTCTTACAAAGGTCTAGTCATGATAACTCGCTTTATTCTGCAATGGAGTCTGTCAACAAGAGAGTGTCTGTTCACAGAACCTCTGTATTCTCTGTTTGTCATTACCTGAAAACATCCTACAAATATACCATGCTCACAATATTTTACCAAACAGAAAACACGGTATCTTTTAACAAAATGCATAGTTCACATCACCATTTGCTATTGCCAGTGTAAGACAGGTGTTGGTATCACAAATTTGATAGAAAGGTAGCAAAATAAAATAAAATCTCCAAACTTTTTGTTTCTGAAATATTGTGAAGACATTATTCCATTCCATGGAGAAAGCGTCAAGTTGAACTAACAGGACTTTTAACCCCATTGAGTGCCATATTTTACTCTCCACAGCACTTTAATGGTTAATGGAGCACACCTTACTGGCTGTAAAAGGTAGACTTGGTGTTCTGATTAGCATAAGAACTGTTTAGCAAAAACAGACGTAGGCAAGTTGTTATCATAAATTGAATTACAGAGTCAGATTATTTATATTGTTAGGCTGTATGAACTTCACAGGAGCCAGTTAACAATATATATCAATGTAATATTTGTGTGCAGGTGTCAGGGAGTCTTTTTACCATCACCTTGCAATGCTGTTACTATGTTTGCCAGCTGGGTTATTTACCCTGTTTGCTATTGCCTTTCATACCATTGTAAAAAGTGACATCAGAGGAAGACCAACATTCACACTTTAGTGGATACATCTGTGAGTGGATTATTCTCCACAAGCACACAATCACAGTGACTATGAAAACCATATTGCACAATTTAGGCAAAACTTCTGATCTGGAAACATTTCTATATATTTTAGAAAAAAATAGAAAGAAATGGGATCAGTGTTAAAATGGGTGTAAGAGGGAATAAACACCACCTCCACACTGATCCCATGCACCAGGAGGGCACTACAAGCAATGCCCAAGGGCTTAACCCTATACTAGCAACAGAAACAAAGAAGCAAAAATTCACAAACTGAATATAATGCTGACTGGAGATAAAGACGTAGGCACCAAAGCACAGAAATAAACTAACTCCAAATAATAATAAATACCGAACTAGCCTTATAAGGCTACTCCCATGCCTCAGTAAGTGAGGAGATAAAGTGACTAATTCTGCAATATACATGTAGGCTTAATTAGTCCTGGCCCTTTAATGTATATATTTTACAATCACAGTTGGGATATTTTACAACTGGTTTTACAGCTCACCA